CCTAATAATAACTTAAAAGTAGTAGCCCCATAAAAGCTAATTTTAAAATAATCAAGAAGGACTGTGTGTGAAATGACTGAAACCCCATTTTAATTAGCAATCTTGTTAATTTTCCCGATTATAAAAAGTTGGAGAATTTCAATACTTCATTTTGTTAAAAAAATGAAAATGTTATTTAAGTGAGTTTGTTGGTTTTTTTCTTAAGATTTTTTTTTTCATTGGGTGAGAAATATAGCATATCACAGAGGGAATTCAGAGGTTCAGTTTTGACATTTTTGTTTTGTACTGTTTATTTGCAAGGGTAATTAACAAATTGTCAAGAAAGCATAAATCTCTGGAGATCTGTACCAAGAAAAATGTCAGTATGATAACTCTTTGTTTATTTGAAATTTTCATAGTGATCACTCAGTGAGGACCTTTAGAAAAAAAATATGATCATTGTACACAAAGTATTTTATTTGGTATGACTGTCTTTATTTCATAGACTCTGTATAATTGAGTGCTTTTCTCAGGTTTATTTTTCCTTTAAAATATTTGTGCGAAGTAGGCCATGTGAGTACCAGAAATTTCAGCTCAGAAATATGAAGCAGGAATAATTTTGTATGTAACTTACATAGGCTATTTTGAAAATCAAAATGATCAAATGTGAATTTTATAGTCTGTTTTTGTTATGTTAATCTAATTTATTATCATGATATTATACAGTTTAGTAGCATAATTAAAATATCACATGTGGAACCCATAGCCCAAACAGTATTTCAATTTAATTAGTAGACATGCATACCTACTTCTCTTCTAAGGCATTCATGGGCTCTGCTCAGGAGACAGCCTAGGTGAAGAATCATGACTGATCTAATCCATTTAAATCTGCGCTAGTTTCTCTTGTAACTGAAGGTAGAGAGTACTGTGGGAATAGGACATGGGGATAGTTAATAAAACACAATAAAGCTTAAGAAGAGTAAAAAAACAAACAAAAAAAAAAGATTTTATTTATTCAAGAGAGAGATAGAGGGCATGCAAGTGGGAGGAGAAGCAGAGGGAGACAGAGAATCTCAAGCTGATTCCATGATGAGCATGGAACCTGATGCAGGGCTCAATCTTATGACTCTGAGATCATGACCTGAGCAGAAATCCAGGGTCAGACACTTGACCGACTGAGCCACCCAGACAGCCCTAAATGAGTGTTTTTAGATTATTCTAGACCAAGCCCAGAGCACTTCATGGAAGATGGTAGGCAGCTAAATATATTTAATTGTTGGATGAGGTGAGAGATTAAAAGAACAAAATACAACCTTTCCAATAGCTTATAAATCGGAGAAAAAGGAATTAGTAGACATATGCTTTTCTTAATGGAAAACTTTTGAAAATATGATTTTGTACCTTTTAATCAAACACACTGAAATTTAACTGATGCTACTAGAACAACAGGAGTTCATTTTTACATGTTGCAAATTTAGAAATTGAGATTATTTAAATAGGAGTTAGGATTAAGTTTACTTTTTACTTTATGTTTTAAAAAAAGGTTCCTAAGAAAGTGAGCAAAGTAAACAAGCTTACTGAGATGTTGTATCTATGAGAGAAGTTAAATCGTTTTCAGGCAAATTCCTCCCCATCTCCTCTCCACATCTTTTGAGAGTTGAATCTGTAGGTGTGTTAGTTTTCTACAGCAGTTCTCTAACAAATTAGTTTCAATTTAGTGGCTTAAAACAAGATCAATTTCTCTTGCAATTCTGTTAGAAGCCTGACATGAATCTCACTAGGTTAATCTCAAGTTGTTCATGGGGCTTCATTCCTTTCTCCGAGGCTCTGAAGGAGAATCGGAGACTTCCTTCCTTACCTTTTTCAGTTTCTAGAAGCCATCTCCATTCCTTAACTCAATTCATGGCTCCCTTCCTCTATGTTAAAAACCTGCCACGTTGTATCTCTCTGACTCCCTCTTTCTTATCAGAGCTGGATAAAGTTATCAGGTTTTAAGGATTTATATGATTACATGGAGCCCACCCAGGTAATCCAGGAGAATCTCCCCATCACAAGACCCTTACCGGGAACCATATCTACAAAATCCTTTTTGTCACATGTGATAACATATTCACAGGTTCTAGGAACTGAGATGTCGATCTCTTTGACGGCCATCTGTGTACACACTGAGGAGGTAGCACTCAGTTCACAGGACCGTGAGTCAGCATCAGAAGATACTGATGTAGATTGATTTTTTAAAAATTGGTGTATAATAATTTATACTTGTTAATGAAGGCAATTACCACCTTTAAATAAAACTTTCATTAATTATTTGAAATGTTTTTATGTACATACAGTTTTAAAAATAATTTAATGATTATTTAATGCTAAGTTATTAATAGTAATAATTCCATTGCCTTCCACAAGTCTGCGTATTTCACATAATTTAATTATAATAACAATATAGCTTTATATATATGAACTATCTTATATTCTGTTTTCACCCAATTCTTATATATACAACTATACAAATAGGCCATATTTTATTAAGCTTTAATCTTGATGTTAGAGATTTATGTGTTTATAGTTTCTTATTAATGTAGATAATGAAGTCAACTGAACATTGACTTATTTATACACGGGTTTTGCTTTTAGTGAGTAAATCCCTTGGAAAAAATTGCTTTGAAAGAAATTCACAGAGTAAAAATATATGACTATCTGCAGGTTGTCCACACAGTCCCCTCTTTTTATTTGTTTGTAGAACCATAATTTTGTTCAGTTATTAGTTGGTAGGGTGATTTAAGCCCCGGGGGATGAATTTGTCCTATAAGTAAAACCTGGAATTTTCTATGTCCTTTGCCAGTGATTAGTTTCAGAATTTGTGGGTCAAATTTGTCCAAAAAGATCAAGTTGAAATTTTTTTTAGCTAGTGAGGGTTTGGTCAGAGCTGGAATTTAGTTAGGATGCTGAATTTAGTTAGGATGTCTGTTATAACTCTAGTTCAGATGTGTGGAGGAGCTGAACTAGAATGAGGTTGGAGCAAGAGCAAAAGTCATTGAAGAGGGTGAGACAAAAGGAACATTCAAAGATAACTGACATGTTGGGGCAGGATGGCTATATAAGAAGCAAGTGCCACTGTTGGGATTGTGGGTTTGTGGTCCAGGATGTTTTGGATGTTCAGGGATATTGACTTTATTTTTTTTTAAGATTTTATTTATTTATTTGACAGAGAGAGAGACATCACAAGTAGGCAGAGAGGCAGGCAGAGGTGGGGGGAAGCAGGCTCCCTGTGGAGCAGAGAGCCTGATGTGGGGCTCGATCTCAGCACCCTGAGATCATGACCTGAGCTGAAGGCAGAGGCTTAACCCACTGAGCCACCCGGGCGCTCCAGGGATGTTGACTTTAATTTGATGTCCTAAGGACAAGCATCCAAATAAGTGTGGGCTTCAGCAGATACCTTGGGTTCAGTGGAATGTACTGAGAGGAACAAATGCAAGCCCCATATACAATTTTAAATTTTCCAGTAGTGGCATTTTTAAAAAGTAAAAAAAAAAATAATAATAAGGAAGCGATGTTGATTTTAATAGTGTATTGTATTTGATACAATATATCAAAAATCTTATCATTTCATTAGATAGTCATTATGTATTCCAACATCTCACTTTGTTCTGGCCACATTTCAAGGGCTTCATCGTCATGCACAATTAGAAAAATGAACTTAGGAGCCAGTTTTTAAAAAGTCAGTACCTTTCTTTGCTTGCAAATATGAACTTGTGTTTGGCTTCCTTCTGGGGATTTTTACTGTTGTGAGTAACACTGTAATGAACAGCCATATATAGAACTCCTGGTGCAGGAATTAAGGATGGTATATTCCTAGGTGTAGGATGGCTGGCAGGCAACAGGGGAAATCGTGCTCGCTTTATTCTCCTAAGTGGTTACTCCAGTTCACATGCCAGCTAGTAGTGTGGAAAAGAGTCCTTGTTGCTCCACCCCATACCAACATTTGGAAAAGTCTCCTTTCTTCATTTTTGTCAAACTAGTGGGTGTAAAATGGTTTCTTATTTCTTCACAATTTGCATTTTTCTGATTATTAATGAGATTGAATACCTTTTGAGAAGTATGTGAACCTTCATTTGTCCTCATCTATAGAAATTACAAATATTTATTCATTCAAATATAAATATACTTATATATGGTATATGCCATATATTCATATATGTCATATTATATATTTATTCACAAATATTTTATTTTTGAGCACTATCATGTATTGGTCTAGGTATAGAGACTCTACTAGTAGGGGGAAAATAGTCTCATATCTTGCCTTCTAGGAGTTTAGTTCTAGTGTTGTGTATATCGTGAAGAGGAAGAGAAAAAAACAATAACAATTAAAAAAGGTGAAGCAGCGTATGTCAAGTGTTGTTAGTAAACCTCAGTTAAGTCTGGTTCAGCCATTTTATGTCAGGACTTAACTTAGCTTCTGCAGTTGTAAAAAGGAGATGGTAATAATACCATCTTCATTGTTTATTCAATGCATATGAAGAACTTGACACAGCCCTGGCAAATTGTAAGACTCAGAAAATGCTGATAAGTATTATTTTCCCCCTTTTTTGCTTCTCCTTTTTCCCTGTAATTTCTTTTCAGAACCTCTGAAGTTTAAGATTAAATATGTTTTGGTTTGTTGAAGTGTTGGCTTTCATCAGGGTGTCAACCTATTGGTACTTTCTGCGACAAGACAGATGACCTTAGCTAATTTTGAGATGTGTTTTTGGAATTTCAAGCTTCTTAAATCCCAAAAACCAAGAGCCTGAGAATGGGTACTTTTTAAAAAGCTACATCATGTCAAATGCCAAAAATGTGGGAAAATCTGTAGGAATGCCTTGTATTCATTCAGGGCTGTGTCCTATGAATATAGATTTTGCCTGAATTAATCATTTTAATATAACAACCAATTTACTGTAAACCATGTGTGAAGTGCTGTATAGAAGAGATGCATGTGACCTTGTTAATCTTTGGAACAATTATGTGTCCCTCTTTCTTAGATAATGATGTTGAAAATGATCTTCAATCAGACATCGGTTGAGCACTGCAAGACTCACACTGAAAAGCTGAAAGAATGCAACTTCTTCTTAATAGCTGTGCGCCTGGCCTCACTGAACCAGATCTTGGATCCCTGGGTTTATCTGCTGCTAAGAAAGATCCTTCTTCGAAAGTTTTGTCAGGTAGCAAATGCTGTCTCCAGCTGCTCTAATGATGGACAGAAAGGGCAGCCTATCTCGTTATCCAATGAAATAATACAGACAGGAGCATGAAAGAGAACACCTAATCAACTTGCATGTTCACAGCTTTTGGCAACAAGTAGCCATAAACCTTACTGTGAATTTAGGCATCTCTGGCATGCCACTGTTTATGCATTGAAGGAGAATTTTAATATAAGGCTAAATGGTCTCAGAAGCATAGATAATCCCCTATGTGCCAAAAGTGTTGAAACACAAACAAAGGAAAATATATTATTAACGGTCTAGTGTTTTTGGGTCTCTGCCATTTGTAGCTGAATATGTGATTATTTAGGAGATGAAAACATTTTTTGTTATATAAATGATCTTGGTCTGTGGTGGGGGTGAAGTGGGGAAAGTTAATATTCCAGTGTACTGAGTACATGGGGGACGGAATCCATAGATCATCAGAGATAGGCAGTAATTTGCCTTTGTCCAAAGACCTTGATCTTCTGTATTCTCTTTCTATCTCTCCATGTCACTCTTTTCCCCTTACATTTTTTTAAAAATTGCATTAGGATAAAAAAACATAAATGTATCCATAATATTTAATGGTGTTGATGTAAATATTGCTCAATGCATAAATTATCTGCTGAACTTATGAAGTTCAAGTTTTGGATGTGTTGGTAATTATGTTTACTCCTATATAAGAGTCAATTGCATTTATTTGAAATATGACAGGATTTATGACTATCCAAATTACTCTATGTTCTTCTTTTTGAATGTATTTTTCATTCTTAAAAGCCTGGGTAAGATTTATGAATCTGATCTTGAGAGTCAGGAAAGTGATTTTTCAAAATGCTATTTAAAAACTAATTTGAGAACTAAATACAGGTACTGTGGTTAATTCTCTTCCCTGATTGTTTCACCAAAAGTATCCTCTAGTCTCCTGGATATTTAAATACTAACTCTAATTTCTATAGAGTTAATACTAACTCCATTAAATATTTTGAAGGTTCCATAAAGAGTTTCTATAGTTTGGCCTATTTATAGAATTAGAAAATTAAGAGTATTGACCCCTCACAGCATTTTCTCTATTTTCTCTTCAAAGTAGCTCTATATCTAAATATTTATTATTAATATGTTTTCTTACACTCTATATGTGTACAAACCTTGATAACTAAGCTAGGTTTCTTTTTGACACAAGTAGATTATTACACTAAGTTTTGAGAGTTGCACTTAAAAAACAAACAAACAGAAAAACTTCCCCAACAAACATAACAATCTTTTAAATGAGAGCTACACAAAATGCTCTTTGTATCCTTTGGAGCATTCATTTTGCAAACTCATTAACAGTTTCTCATGAAGATAGTAATCTACAGCTTACCTTATTGCATTCCTAATTTTAAAAGTTTGAGATTTATTTTATATTTCTTTATAGTAACTACTTTCCCCCCGTGTTTAGTAGGCATTTGAGGAATAGTTGATTTTAATAAGTACAACATATCTACTAGATTAATATATAAACCATCCAGGTCAGTTGGGAATAATCAATTTATTATTATTATTATTATTATTATTATGAATACCATGTCAAACTGAGTGGATAAACAAGGTCTGCTGAGAGTGTTTATGTAATTCATGATGGTTCCACTAATCTATGTTGTAGGAAAAAATGATGATATAGAACCTAATACTAAAGCCCTGTTATAAAATCTCTCTATGCTATAGAATTGGATTATCCCACCAGACACCTCATGAAGAATTAGACAAAGCTACCTCCTTTGTCCCAGAAAAAAAGTGCACTTGAATGACCTTACAGAAAAGAGGCCTTACCTCTTGAATTGTCCTCTGGTCCTAGGTCATAATGTGATAGACACACACACACGGTATGGATTTAAGTGGTGTGAGTGGGATTGGGTTATCCCTTCCAGCACCTAGTACAACACTTGAAATGTAGGAAGAGTCCAGCATTTATTCAACGAATGAACGAATGAATGGTTGCCAAAACCAAGTGTGTCTTGGCAAGGTGCCTGCCATATGACTGAAGGGCCACATGCCATTATAGTCCATCAGACTGATAAGGTGAATGCTCTCTGCCTCTTTAATTACAGAAAAATGAATTTACCTTCAAATGTGTAGTAACATATTACTGTACAACAAAGTGCTTTATCTGTATTAATAATTTAAGAGACTGATACTTCCAAATGGAAATGGAGATTACTGTCAAAGAAATATGACTTTTCCTCAAAGCACAGAAATACATAAAGACAAAACAACCTGACACTTATCCTTAAGTTCACAATAAATTTCTGTGCAGTGATACGTGGCAGGAGTGGACACATGGCAGTTTTTCAACAAGGTTGAAAAAAAAGTGGAGAAGGAAAAATTATGTAAATGGCATGGGTTTTGTTATCAGGCCCGCCATTGGTTTGTCCAGGGAAAAGCTGATAAGAAATATAAGCCCCAAATGATTTCAACCTTTGGATGATAGTTGAAGTTAGATTTCAGAAATGTTGTGCAGAGGCCCTAGATGTGGTCAGAAAGTGAACAGACTTCTGAAGTCACTTCATTAAAAATCTGTTTCCAAGTTTAAGTTTATTGGCCTTTAAATTCTTCCTCATATACTTTGTTTATCTATGTATCTGTCTGAGCAGGAAAAGAAGATGTGGGCATAAATTATGATGATTCTTAACTTGACAGTATTGATTAAAAGAAAAATTAAAGGCGTAGGAAACCACCTGGGAAGAAGTGAGGATAATGTAGAAATTAAGGTACAATCAGCTACTGTAGATTGTACATAGCAGGGCTGATTTTCCAAATGATGAATTTATGCAGCTAAGCTGTCATAGAAGAGAAGGATGATGTGCTATATCCAATAAGAATATTTTACGTTTCAAATAAAATCGGTGCAGTGGATATCTCAAAACTACTTTAAATGTTTTATCTTAAGATTTATCAAAATTTGCCTAAGGCTGTATGCCAGGATATTTTTAAGTAGATCTGTTTAATCTTGACAGATTTAAATGATTATGAATCAAAAAGTGCACAAAAAGTGTACACTTCTTTATTATATAAAAAATCTCTTGACTGCGTTGTAGAATAAAATTGTGGAAGCTCGTGTAAAAATTAACTGTAAGAGATCTTGGGACCATGCTGGCATAGAGTGATGGACCAACTAGAAACTCTCAAGACATAACTATTTTTCAATGGTGGTCAATCTGTGACAAAATTCTAATAATAGATTTTCCAGTGAATTAGATCTTTTATTCATTGATACTTTTTATCTGTTGGCTTTGAGTCCTACTTTGTGATTAGTTTCAATCTTTCCGTGTCAGCAATCACTTAATGGTTCTTTTGTACTGGGATTAAATCAGAGACAGAAAGTAGAAAAATTTTTATTGTTGACAGTTTAAGCACATATATTCCTATTTATTTTTTAATATTTAACCCCAAAAGCTGTTCTCGAAATAAACAGGATACCAGAAGATGAGTGACTTAGAAAGACTGCAAAGTATTTATTCCTAAGAACATATTAAAAGCTTAATGTGGAAAATTAAAATTTCTATGATTTACCCATGTGAAAGCTTAGACCATCACCCATGCCAAATCTTCAGAGAAGTTTATTGATGGTTTTATGCTCGCATACATCCCAAAATCGCAAAACTGAGGTTTTAGTAAATGTGCAGAATTGTGTAATGAATAAGATTATATCATTTTAAAAAGGAGGACTATTTAATACTGTGGCTACATTCAGAGGACTGTTAACTGAATTGCAATAAAATTCTGAAAAGAGATGGCATACATCTGTGATGTTTCCTAACATAGATTTTGATAGAGCCAATATACAAAATTTGAAAATCAACCTAAAACTCACATGCACATTTGTTAAAGAGCTGTAGCAGTTCGGTATTCTAAGACAACTAACTAGTGATTGATTACATATGAAGCATGAAACAGAGAATTAGGGAAAATGTTAAAATTAAAATCTAATTCCGTTAGACTGGAATCCTTTATATAGATACTGATTTCATAAGAAATTTCATATTAAGCTGAGTTACCCAAAAGATTTCAATTTTATTAGGAATTCATATCTCTAGTTATCCAGTAAAATCTTTTAGCTGTCTTCTTTGAATACCTTTTTCAGATTGAGCCACCTTGCATAAAACGGAAGAAAGTAAGAATAGTGCAGAGTGAACTTGTTCTCAAAGTGACAAAGGAAAAACTGAGACTATGCCCTTCTCAGAAAGACTTTCCCAAGTCTAGAGTTAAGGAATTATTATTTTTTTATAAGAAAATCAACAATTCATGTTAAAGTCAGATGGAAAGATATCCTCAAAACATGCTCCTTAACATTTTCTTTCTCACTTGTCCCTGTTCTCTACTCTTTTAAGGAACAATAGAGGACAGAATTTTTATTTTATATATTCTCTATTTTATAATTCCTAAAACAAGGACTCTATTTTAAAGATTTATAATTTATACAAGTTGAATTTTAAACCATGACATAATGATACCATAAACTGAGTACATTTTGATTATGGAAAAACAGAATCAGATATATACCATCCATATTCATTTATATATCACTTACTTTCTCTATTGAGAATCAAAATTCTTTCATTTTCAGAATTTTAAGTCAATCAATTTAATATTATCAACAACCTAAATATTTACTGGATTACATATTTCTTCATTAGGAATGAGACTGTGACCCCAAACCCCTTACCTCCAACCTGTTTATTCATTTTCTCAACAAAGAGAAAGTAATAGAAATATTTACTGTTGGTGAAATTGGGATTGTTTTTAAGAGGATAGAGAACAGCTTCATATTTCTAACATGCTTATGATTTAATATATGAAACGGATCTAATTCTGTTTTTTAGTAAGTCTGCTTTGACGGAACAATTTTATCATGGGAGTAAAGATAAGAAGGAAAGAGATGATCATGAGGAACAAAATCAGATTTTTCAAAGTTTTTGAGCGTTTGGAGATGATTCTACCCC